TAGCAGTGCTAATACCTCTTCAAAAGGAAAGAAGCCTGCTTATGACAGCGTTCTGTACAAGAAGATCCTTGTAAACTCCAAGCGGTTCATTAAATCCTTAAAAAACCTTAAGAGGATTAATGTGTAAAGCTTGGGCGGGAACTGACAAATGATGCAACAGCAACAAAGAACATCTTGAAACAGACCAAAGAATGCCCAGAACAGTTCTATTTGGAGTGACCCCTTCGGCCTTTTGCAAACTGATTCGATCCTGTTCTCTGTTGCAAGTGTCACACCAGTGCAGACAGGATGTTTACAATGTATGAAATGGACTTCAGTAAAAATCTAGTAAAATCTGTTTTGCAGAACATCTGTTTCTTCTGTGTCCTGAGACATGGTTAAATTAAGTAGCAGTATTGTTGTTTCTGCCTCAATCCCACGGGCAGGAAATGAGCAGCTGGAAAGTGTCCTTTTATTGTAAATTAAAACATTTTGAGAGGGTTCAGTCTCTCTGTTTCTCTTTCCTTTCTTTTCTTATTTTGAAGTGAATGTTTTTTTGTGTGTGACGTCATTCTGGCAGCTCCTGGAGCTCCACAGAAGGCATAGACTTAAAGATACAGAGAGAGCAATAAAACAGCCGCAGTTTCTGAAGCTCTAGAGATGGCTGACATGTTCAAATATTTTATTAGTTGGCATGCTTTGTTTTATATACTGTATATAACTTGCCAGTTTAAAACTTTTAAAAAGCTTTTTCTACAGAAATAAAGAAGCGAAGAACCTGCATGTATTTGATCACATTATGTCTGTGACCTAACGTTGCAGTTTCTCCTTCTGCACCATTCTGATCTAGATATACAATAAATTAAATCTGCATATTCGACGCTTTGTAATTTGCCTGTGATAGCATTTTTGGCAGCTTACCTTTTCAGATATTCTCCAGCTGATTCAGTTTAATCTCCAGAAATCCTAGCTTGCAGTTCCTCTGTCCAGAACTGTTGTGTACACTCTTGTGCAATGAAAGATGAGTGTATGTTTACTGTGCAGTTATTGAGATGCAGTGATAATGATTTATTCAGATTTTTTCAGTATTGATAACATTCTCACATGGAATGATAGTAGAAATCCTCCTGATTTCTTATCACTGTTTGATGGCTTTCCCTCTTAAATTGCAGATGGTGTTTCGGGGATGGAGGTTATCAAGAGTATAGCTTCAAACCGCCCTACGATAATTCTCTTATTCTTCCTGAAACGAATGCAAAGCAGGTGGTTTTACAACAAAATGTAACCTACACCTACCCACAGCCAGGTAAACCTGAACTCATCTTTGAACAGGGACCTCCAACCATGAGACTAATTGTTTGGTTCAAGTCCAAAGCTTCAGTATGTGGAAACTTGACAATGTACTCCTGGCCTTTTCCCTGTTGAATGAAGAGCCAAAGAGATCTGTATTTCTAATTAAATACCAATGTACAAATGGGGAAAAGTCCAAATGTGAGGTGTTCTCGAGTGAATGGCAGAACTTTTGTGACAGCGCTGTCTCATTGTAAGCTGTGATTTGTGATGCATGTTAGCTTGAACTGGTACAGATTAATTTCCAGGTAATGCAACAGCTCTGGTAAAAGGCTATAGGATAATCAATCTTAATTTTAATGCCTGTCAATTTTTTACGTTAACTCTCTAAAATTATGTAATAGTGTCCTGCATTTAACTGTGTATTTAAAACTGAGAGCAGGAAATGCTTTGTAACACATTCTGGAAGTCTGTCTAGCCATGTTGTATGTTTCATATAGTGACTTTGACAACAAGCTGACAAACAGGTCCAAGGGCTACACACTGACAAACATATTCCTGGCAAGTTAACTAGCGTATAATAAAAATTACCATTAAAAGTCTTCTGAATTCAGGACAAATCCTAGGTATTTTAAACAACACTTGATTTGGTTTCATGCACTTTAAACATGTATTTTTATGAGCAACAAGACAAAGTTTGAAACTATTAATGCCTTAACTGTCAGCAGGAGAACCTGAAAGTGCTTACAAATCATCACCTTGTAAATGTGATCTACCATTGTACATACTGCATCGATACACTACTCACAGCCTATTACACCATTTTGTCTTTGCAGGAGAATATACCCTGACTGTGTCAGTGTCCAATAGGTATGAAAATGTCAGCCAGCAGATACATGTTTTTGTCTACAGCATCCTTACTTCTGTGGAAATACAGAACGACACAGACCCACTGGTTGTTGGGATGCCAGCAGTGTTTGAGGCCCATCCCCTGCCTTCTCCTTACGGTATCGTCTACACCTGGAACTTTGGGGATGGCTCTCCTTGTCTGCAGGGGCGTGAGCGAAGAGTGAACCACACCTTCAGTCAGAGCGGAGTCTACACCCTTAGTGTCCTAGCCAACAACACAATCAGCAGTATCGGCTCTCAGATGAGCATCCTTGTCTTTGAAGAAATCAGAGGACTGACGGCCTCCTCCAGTGGGCCTACGGAACTTAACACTCCTACCTATATAAACGCCTTTGTGGAATCTGGGAATAACATCACATGGATTTTTGATATGGGAGACGGGAGTGTCCTTACGAGTGCTGAGCCGGAGGTGGAACACAAGTATGTGAAAGACGCAACCTACGTGGTGAACATCACTGCCATGAACCATGTCAACTCTCTGTCAGTGTCCCTCCGTGTTCAGGTGTTTGTGCTGGAAGTCTTGAAACTGGAGCCTTCTGGCTGTATTCAGGAGCTCCTCAACATAAGCTTCATTGCTTTTGTGTCTGGCAACTCTTCAAGTTATGTGTACGAATGGAGTTTTGGGGATGGCTCACCAAATCGGACTATCCACCACAGTCCAGAAGTGGCACATAGGTTCTCGAGGAGTGGAAACTACCATCTCTCTTTGGTTCTGTCAAGCAGTGTGAACAAAGCCAATTTTTTCACTTGCGTTTGTGTTCAGCCAGTGGTTACAAATGTCACCCTCCTTCCTCAGAGCAGCTACACCAGACTGGGAGAGGAGAGCGAGTTCATCGTAGCTGCTTTTCCCGAATTCCAGTACACATACTTCTGGGACTTTGGCACCAATGACTCTTCTGTTCGAGGGACCAACAAAATGGGGTTTACGTACAAAAGCCCAGGACGGTACTTTGTGACCGTGACTGTTCTCAACAACATCTCGTTTAGCAACAACACAGCCCTTGTAGAGGTTCAAGAATCTATTGGCTTAGTGGTGATTCAGCACAATGGCACAAAATCCAATAATCTAGCCCTGCACGAGGTGTATATGTTTACAGCCTTCGGTGATTATTGCAAGGCACATTACACGTGGGACTTTGGAGATGGAAGCATCCTCATGGGTCGTAATGCTGCACATGCATACAATTCCCCTGGCTATTTTAACATCACCCTGACAGGAACCAATGAGGTTAGCACTAACAGTACTCAAATTACTGTCTCCGTTATAACACCAATCCGTGGCTTGACAATCAATGCAAGTATGATCAACGTGCCTCTGAATACATCTGTTAATTTTGATGCACATCTCATAGAAGGCGATGATGTTCATTATTCCTGGATTCTGTGCGACAGGTGTACACCGATTCCCGGGTCATCAACCATATACTACACTTTTCGATCCATCGGAACCTTTAATGTCATTGTCACAGCAGAGAATAGAATTAACTCAATGCAGGCCAGCATCTTTATTTTTGTTTTAAGAGAGCTCGAGGGTCTTCAGATTTTAGCGGATGATCTTGTGGATGGCTGTTGTTTCATGACTAATAAAGCACTCCATATGCAAGCGACACTCCGTGAGGGAACCAACATGTCCTTCAGCTGGACCATTTTGAAAGGCCAAGAGGCCATTCTGAACATCAGTGGAAAGGAAGCAATCGTCAACTTCCCTGAGCCCGGCGTTTATGATGTTATTGTAAAGGCCACCAATCTCTTGGGCCAAATCAGTGTAATCAAAACTATTGAGTTTTTAGATCCAGTAGGAAGTGTAAGTCTGAAGGCAACTCCTAATCCTGTTGCAGTAAATGCCTTTACTAACATTACTTTGTTAGTGAGTGGTGGCACAAATTTAGAATGCCTTTGGTCCACTAATGATAATTTTACCTTGACTTCAAAGAATCAGTCCATTGTTCATCAGTTTAAAAGTCCCGGGCTCAAATTTGTCAGTGTCACGGTTGCCAATAAAGTGAGCTCTAATACAGCTTCGGATTGGATAAGTGTACAGGAGCCCATTTCAGGGGTAACATTTACCCCTAAAGATGTTGCAGACCAGCAGTACATTGCCTCAGGCACAACTCTGACACTACAGGGAAACATCCAAACAGGTACCAATGTTTCTTGGACATGGCACCTTCCCAACAGCTCTGAAATGGGACGACAGATATCTTATTGCTTCCCAGTAGCTGTGCTTTATACAATTACATTAAATGTTTCTAATGACATCAGCTGGGCGGTTACCACTAGAAACTTCACTGTGCAAGATAAAATAGAGGGGTTAGAACTTAAAGCCAGCAGGAACATTGCTGCCGTGAAAGAAAATGTCATTTTCATGATTGGTATATCATCAGGAACGTCCGTGAGCTTTCACTTAAGTATTAGTGGTGACTCCAGTGTACTTACCTTAAATACCTTAAATTTTACCCACCAGTTCACCAGAGTGGATACCTATGTTGTTAATCTGACGGCTCAGAACCAAGTCAGCTCAGAAAGAACAAGTACAGTTGTAACAGTTATGGAGCCAATTAGTAGGTTGACGATGGTTAACTGCTGTGAGCAAGCCATCCCAGTTGGTGTAACTAAAATGTTCAGTGCTGAAACTCAGTCGGGAAGCCGTGTGACTTACCTTTGGACTTTTGACCTGCACTTTGGTTCCAAGACATCCTTGATTGGGAAGGAAGTTTTCTACACACCCCCAGAGCCAGGACAGTTAATCATATATCTGAGAGCAGTCAATGCATTAGGAGGTCAGAACATAACGAAAGTAATACAGGCCCAGAACATCCTGCTTTCTGCTGTCCTTGAAGCTCAACCTCAAGAAACATTGGTCAAAAAGTCCGTCCTTCTGACTGCTTTCGTTTTGCCGAGACCTCACGAAGGCACATTCCTGTGGAATTTTGGAGATAGTTCGGAAAAACAAGAAAGCAACACGCCATCCATCTCCCATTCCTACTCTCATCCAGGGGTGTTCACCGTCCAGGTGAATGCCAGCAATTTTGTGAGTTTCGTTGTTGCCCAGATTAACGTCACTATACAGGAACTTGAGTGCGAGGAACCAGAGGTCCAGTTGGTGCATTCGTCCCAGGTGGTAATCAAAAGATCACAGAGAAATTATATGGAGGCAACTGTTGACTTAAAAGGATGCACCAGGTACGATGTGGAATATTTGTGGGAAATCTACAGAGTGTCAGCTTGTGCGAACCTACGTGATACTGTTAAAGTAAAACTTCATGATGATCTAGATGTCCGGAGACCTCAGCTGGCCATTCCAAAAATGGCACTGGGTGTAGGCAACTACTGTGTGGTGTTTTCCCTTTCATACAAAGGCAGCCCACTCAGAAAGAGCATTTCCCTCAGTCTCAGTGTGATCCCAGGAAAACTGGTACCAATAATTGATGGTGGGACATTTAGAATCTGGTCCAAATCTCAAGATCTGCTATTAAATGGAGAAAAGTCCTACGACCCAAACCTAGATGCTGAAAACCAGTCACCTCTAAGCTATTCCTGGGACTGCTTTCTTTCATCGAAGGTAAATTCATTTTTTACCACTTTAAACTCTAACTTGAAGCAGTTGTCATGTAGATCACACTTTTACACTTTTTCTCTATCACTTTTATCATTTTTATTGAAGTTATATGATTTAATGGCCCAATCTCATCAGACTTCAGAAGCCAAGCAAGTTTGGGCCTGGTCAGTATTGGGCTGAAAATATTCTAATCAAAAGCTGGATTTTTAACATTTTTAAAAGATGTTAATGAACAATAAGGTGTCATTCATCTTTCTGGTCCAGAAACAGGTGTCTGTTCCAAAACAGTGCCTCAAGATAGTGTCTGAGGACACTGTAGGACACTGTTCTGTAGGAGATTAATCGGTGGAGACAGAAAACTGAGGTTCTAACTACACTTGAGAATTGGATGAAGAGAGCCTCCTAATATATGTAAAGTATTTGTGGGTCAGAAATGAAATGCACTATACAAATGCAATTATTATTATTATTATTATTATTATTATTATTATTATTGTTATTATTATTGTTATTATTATTATCTGTTTTCTAACTTTGCTTGTACTTTAACCATCACAAATGCAGGGGTATCTCGTGATCTGTGGATCAATTCTAGGACTATTTAACTATTTTTCAAAACTGCTTGCTTATGTTTTGTTTTTGTGCACAGAACTCCCCTATTGGATGTAGTTTGCATTTTGGCTCACAGGAACCACTACTGGTAATTCCCGAGGACATGTTAGAGGCGGATATGGAATACACATTCCGCCTCACTGTCAGCAAGCCAGGGATGAGTCCGGAGTCTACGAATCAGACTGTACGTACTGCCTGCGTTTCAGAAAACATACATTAACGCTGCATTGAAAAACGTTTCATTACCATGTTAATCTCCAGATGTCTATACTAAAAATGCTTTCATATCTATTGTAAATCAGTGATCCCTGCTGCTGGTGCAGAAGGGCTAGAGCCCTGCAGGTTATAAGGAGAACTCCAGTTCTGCAATGACCAAAGATTTGGAAACAGCAATAATTCCGAACGGCATGGCAGTAATCATTTCATGCAGTTCTTAAGGGCTCTGGTCATTAGGAAAACAGAAGTGTGGATCTCCAGGACCAGTAAAAATGATCTCTGCAGTAAAAGATATTATGAACATAGGTATGGAATACTTCTGTAAAGCTCAAGAGTGTCCAGTCCTTGTCCTCGAGGGCCGGAGTGTTCACACATTTCCCAGGTCAATTAAAGACCACGACACTTGGAAAGCCAGGAGTAGGTGTTAAAGTGGTCCAGTTAAACCAGTAACCAATAGCAGACCTTTTCAAATCCCTAGATACCATGCTCAACATTTATGACATTGTTTACCATGCTAATTATACCACATTCTTACCAGGGACAAAAAACTAATTCTTGATGTGAATAATAAATATATAAACAGTCCCAACTGACTGAAAGATGAGGCAGACATGTACAGTGCTTAATTCTGTTATTTCCACAGAAAACAATTGTTAACGATTGGTGTTAGTGTTAATGAATTTGAGCCCCTGCAATGAGATTTTCATTGTGTTTTTGAATCGAGGAATTCTGCTTCCTAAAAGTCATTTTCTAGGACTGTGGTGGCTGGTGGCTGGCGGCCTTAACACCTAAAATACTAGAGCAAATAAAGACTTTAATTATTTATTAACCTTTTATTTCAGCCTGCTCCGAACATGAATAATTTAACAGTTTTTCAAAAACTCAATATGAAGCACACACAGTGATAAATCATATTTTTTTAACTGTAGGATGCAACATTTATCTAACCTGAGGTGAATTGTTTTTATTTACCTGGAAACGGGGTCAAATGAGTGCTTCCCCATTAGGAGTTTTTCAACTTTGTTTCAAGAGCATTTCTTCACTGGGGAAAAAGAGACTGATGTGGTGTTAAGCACCAGCAAGACCCATTAATTAGGAGTCAACCTATAACAGAACACAAGAAAGAAAAGGCTTGGCTTAGCACTGAGGTCTTAAACTGCAATAGGTGATGAATTTTGAAGTGCTCCCTTGTGAGCCAGGCCAGCTCTCCACAGTGACTTTTCTCAGTCACCTGCACCCTTCACAAATCTTCAGCTGAATAGACATTGCACATCACCTCTGCACTGCCTAATGGACTTTACCTTAAATATCTCCTGTGTTTCTCTGATAACCCTCCTCCGTGTACAGTGTTTGTGCTCCTACCCAAGCTTCATGATTCTGCTTGCTGTTTTTTGGCTATTTCTGCCTACAGTATATCTTACCGCTGCTGCAGGCTAAACGTGAAAGCAGAGCTTTTTAGCTTGGTGTATCAAAATCCTTTTCAACCCTGTTAGTTTGTTTTCATTTAAGAAATCATCACAAACAGAGGAAGAAAAAAACGTAGCTTCCCTATTGCTAATGCCAGTCGTGGCCTTGTGTTTAGAGTAATTATATAGTTGAAAAGCAAACCTTTCATGGGTGTCCTTGCATGACATTTGGTGAATGACTGAATGATGTCCTTTTAGAAAAGCATCTTCTGTTGTTCCTCTACAGTATGTCTCTTGTTTATATACTGAATAATCAATCCCAGACTTTCATACTTTCATGGTATTTTATCCTTGTTTTAAAGGAGGAACTGCTACCATATTGACAATCTCTCTCATGCTACTTTCTCTTGGAGATTAAAATTTAAACTGTGCATTACACTCTCCCTCATTGTTATTCTGGCCTTTAGTGCTCACACAAGACCCTGTTGACTGTTTCCTCATCTGCTCATAAGCTGATGAGCTTTGAGTTGCAATTTTTTAGCTCCATTGTACAAAACAGAATTTTCCAAAATTCAAATACATAAAATAGTCGCTCTCCGAGTGAGAACCTCAGGCTGTAAAGAAACATTCTGAGGTCTGTTGTTTTGACTTCTTGCTAATTTTGTTCTCATAATCTGATTTGCTTTGCTCCTTATAAGAAAGTAGAAACATATTCTTCTAGCAGAATAAATCAGTTTAATGTAAAGAGGTCACTGAATGTATTTGGTGGCCTCTGCTGTAAGGCATTATGGCATAAAAGGGTTGCTTTTCTGTGTTGTTTCTCCTCAGGTTTTAGTGAAGAATGGCAGAATCCCAATGGTGCTGCTGGAATGTGTTTCTTGCAAGGCTCAGTCTGTCTACGAAGTTAGCCAGAGCTCCTATGTTTATCTGGCGGGGACATGCAGCAACTGTCAGGATAACTCTCACACTGGGGTAAGAGAAGTCTTCAGAAGCAGCCCCTCTTTGAAAAACGACATTGTTGTAAACCACTGTTTCTAATTTGTTTGTGTGGTTAATATCACTTGATGGCACTCACAGCTGTACTGCTGTTTCCTTCCAGTTTTTGTTTTTCTCTAAGCCAATGAAAAGAAACTCATACAGTACTTGTGCCCAGCAGGTCGAGCCAGAACTCGCTGGCTTCATTATTTAAGAGAGAACTGATGTTGTGTGTTTTTTTTAATCCGAACCAGGTTCGTATTTAACTAACGAAGCAATCTGAAAAAAAAAACACTGTAATGAGCCATGGAAGTATTATCATAATTTTCAAGTTCAGAGCAATACAAGAAGTTTCTGATCCTGCCAGCTGACAAACATGAGTAATCATGCTTTCTTCCAGATCAGGAAGCCATCTTGTCACTCAAGTTTAAAATGCCAGAATGTTTACAGCTGAAGCAGGGAGGCTAATGTTCTTCAAATATCCCAAGAGAGAATTTTGTGGAGGAAAAATACTTTTATGACTACATACTTAATTCTTGAGCAAGGTCACTCCTGAAGGGCCACAGTCCCCAAAGTGTGTTGGCCTTTTTAGACCAATTTCAGACCAGCAGAAAAGTATTACAATGATCCAGTGGATGAATAACAGGATCAGATTGTTGGTACACAGATTTCTCAGAAAGAAAAAGCTGGATTAAAAGGGCTGGTGGAGTAGAACTACAGTGTAGGTTAAAAAATAACCTCCAAGCTGGAAAACTGAAGCAAAGCCCGATAAAATAAAATTTTCAAGTGTTTAATAAGTCTCTCCTGTAGACAACCTAGTTCAGACATGGTCAAAGTTGACGTGATATTAATAGGAGAGTTTAACTTGCCACACACAACATGGGTTATTAACGTATATAATACAGAAGCTGAATTTGATATGGATGAAAATCTTAATGACTGCTGCTTACCCAATATATGCTAGTTTGCATAACTGGTTATACAGTATTATATATAAATATAATTTTTAAATGGCTAGTACATATGAAATAACCAGAATACAGACAGTGTATGTGGTACTGTAGGAATACTAGTGAATTATTAACTTTTATACTTTTATAACTTGTATACTTTTATTCTATAAAGGCTGAATCAAATTAGGGTCTATAAATTTAGAAATGCCAGTAAGGAAACGAGGCAGAGATTACAAGTTGGTGGTACAATTGTACAATTCAGTAAATACAAGAGGAATGGTTATACTTCAAAAACATAATATTAAAATCACAAATCAAAGTTATACATCACCTACAGTAAGGTAACTCAAATGGACTCATCAGTACCAAAATATGCTGTTTTAGTTTCCTACAGTTGTGACAGATGAGGGTTAGAAATGACAGACAGCCATTCATTCATTCCTTGTCTGGTTCATGGTACAGTAGCTTGTTGGCAAAAGAAGCTCTCGGTTCAGCTTCACCAAAATAGCTGAATAGACGTCGGGTTTCAGTCCTGAGTAAGTACATGTGCTTACTTTCCAGCTCCTTCCTTGTGTTTCTGTGATATCGCTGATCTTTGGAACAAGTAGGGCTTAATTCGAAGTTGAAGGTAGAAAGGATAAACTCTGCTGCTGAGTTTCAGTGTGGCGTCGCACCTGAAGAATGAACAAGAGCCGAAAGGTTTTTCCTTTTCTTCGATGTTTCAGTGTGGAATTAACCTCTCCATGTTCCTCTGCAGCCTGCATGCTGATGCAGCTCCCCAGCTCAAACCTTTTTAAATTAAATTCGATTTGCCAGGTGTCTGCCCAGATCTGAATAGTGACTAATGAGGTGCCTTTTGATGCAAGCACCTCCCTGGTAATAATCAAAGAAAGGTCAGGGTCTTCATGTTTGATTAGTGTGAAGAAGCCACACGCTCTGTGGCCGGCAGTTGTGACATAATTTTTTGCTCCGCTTGGTTTCTGCAGCACTGGACGGCCCTGAACTCGAACAACGAGTCTCTGGTGTTGAACATGAGCACCACAACCACGGGGAGTAGGGGCATGAACCTGGTGGTGCGCCAGGGGATCCTGCGTGACGGAGATGCCTACATTTTCACCCTGCATGTCACCGACCCCATGATGGATGGCGTGGGTGTGGCCTCAATTAAACTCAGACCTAACCTGCCCCCTGCTGGTGGGTCCTGCACACTACATCCCCATGCCACTGCCAGTGCCCTGACCACCAAAATACAATTCACATGCACAGGTAAGAAACGTTACGATAGAAGTGTCACTGTATTTGGTTACTCCCATAGCTATGCAGCGAAAACAAACTATGCACAGCCTTTTGACAACAGAGTTGGTAACAATCGTTAAACAAATTGCATTCTAATACTAGTAAAGATGAAAGTACTGTAAACAGTACTAGTTTCCATTTTGTTCTGCTCTTTAAAAATTTAGTAAATGTTCTTGAGGTTGCTTTTCCTGTAGTGTAAGATAAGAGTCTTTGAATTTATTTGAATAAATTAATTTACTTGCAACTTGAGTGAACATATGATATTTAAGAATTTCTACAAAGATCATGGTTGGGCTTTTGGATTTTAATTTTGAGCTACTTAGTCATGAACAGTCACTCTGGTTTGATTGAAACATGAAAAGCAGATTGTGGTGAGCAGTCTAGTCTTTTGATCAGCAGCGATGCAAGTGCTTTGATCTGTATCTTTTTTGTACAAGTGCGAGCAGGTTATTGAAAGCCGATAAAGAAATTAGTTTTTTCAAGGCACAAACCAAAGACTTACCTCAAGGAATAGAACATCATTGTGTGCCTTCAAAGCAAGGATCCCTGTACACAGTTAAGAGTGTCTGTGTGTTCAAAGTTTAATTTAATCTGAGCTGTTGGTCATTTAACTTAACCCTTATTTTGAAGCTGGAAATTTAAAGCAACTTATTAGTTCAAATACTGTAAGTTAAATGAAGTAACTGGGAGCTTAGCTGGGAAAAAATATATAATGGGTTTTCATGACTGGACTTAGGTAGTAAGCCATTGTTCCATGTTCATGTCTTGACTCTGTTATCCAGTTGTTTACATGCCAAATCCAATGTACTGGAGTAGAACAGTGAACCACATGACACCTGTACAGCCATCTGAAGGGCATTGCCAAACTATGTCAGCAATGACAGATGTCCCTTCTCTTTCCTGAAAACACATTCTGGAAGTCAGTTTGAAAAGGAGGTCTGAAAGAAGATATTAATTACCATGAAGAACATAACAGAACCACACAGAATAAAAATTGTAGGTGTAGCATTACATTTTTTTTTCTTTTTGATGTAGAAATCAACAATTGTTCCTTTTAAATCCCCAGTATATTTTTGCAAATTGACACTTTCAATAATATCTACCTTTCAGTTGTGAAAATACTCATAGCATCACAGTTGACATTTTGGCATATGGGATTTTGTATAGTTTTGCACTTGCAGATAAAGCACAGTGACAGATGACATGTTAATACAGCACCAAACAATACATACTACTCAAATTGATTTTATAATACTAGGCAGCTATTAGCCTCTTGGGTACGTAGTATTGAGGTTAAAATGCTTCAACTATGTGAATGACACTGGCTGCACACTGAATTGACTGTTTTGCTTCTAATAAAGAGGATCTCCATCCGGAACTATTCGTTTTTTTTATTTAAAGCATGACAGTACCTAACATTTCTGAGATTTAATACAAAGCAAACTCGTATTTTTACGTCTTTCCTCCTGGCGGTCACCTGAAAATATCTAGGAAGGTGTAAGCGCTCACTCAGCCATGCTGACAGGCCAGCTGATGTCCTCTGCAAGCTGTTGATTATGAAGTCATTGCCATGCACAGTTGTCCATGAACATGAGTTTTTGCCTCCTGGTTTTGAACGACTGTCCACTAACAACTTCTGTGGCTGCAGACGATATGAAAAGGCACTGAAGTACATTGTGTGAAGACATTTTAGAATGGAAATGATCAAGATGTGTAGCTCATTTAAGAAATCTTAAAAACGCACAGGGAAGTTATGATGATATTTTAAGTGATTTTATTAAATGAGCAATGAGCTCCATTTTTATGGTTAAGCCAAGGATTATTTTCAACCCATTCAACTATTATGTATTGAAAAACAAATATGCGCATAGGGAGTTTCCATTACGTAGGATATGAAAAGCTGTCATCAAACACTGGGTCTGTAATTTACAAGTGCTTTGCAAGTTAATTGTTTTGATTTAATTTGATTTCTTGTCTGGGTTTCACAGTGGATGGATGTAGCTTTCTGTGTTTTGCACTGCATGTGTGTCATTTTATCAGTTATGTGCAGTTTCCCAGACTTCTAAGAAAATGGTCTCCCTTCAGCGGCTCCAGCAAATGTCACCACATCAGCCGTACATGTTGGTTTCGCCGTGTGTTCAGCGTCTGAATGCGCGCGACAGATGAGTCGGTCATGACTGGACTCTTCCTCTGCCTCTAGGATACGAGGACTCAGATGACGCGGAGACGCCGTTAGTCTACAGCTTGATTGTAACCCGCTGCGTCAAGAGTTACTGCGAGGAGTTCTACGTGTACAAGGGAACCAGCTCGGAATACTCAGCCTTTGTTCCCCCCGGATTCCGCTCCAATAACTTTAAGGTCGATGTGTCGGTGAGAGTGGAGGACCACCAAGAAGCATCCACTGTGGCGCTGAACCAGTGAGTACCGGTGGTCTGAAACATGTTTCCGCCTCTGAAGTCTTGGGCTGCTTTTAAATCGCCTTTCATTTTTTGGGATCATGCTGTTCTTTTTATATCATTAACTACATTATAACCAGCATGGATGGGAGGTTACATCTAGAAATAGAAACACAATAAATAACCAACAATGGAGACAAAACGCTGTTTCATCTGTTCATTTCGCAGAACAACACCAGGTCTCACTGGGGCCACAAACCCAGTCCAGGCTTGCCTTTCTGCTTGTAACCTAAGAGAAAAGGTGATCTTTAGGCTGTGAATTGAGTTAACAACAGTTGCTGATTCAAATTGTGAGGGAGGTGACATTCATGAAAAAAGAATTATGATCATTTACTTATTTTTATAGAAAAAAAAAACAGGAGTAAATAACTTATGAAACACAGGCTCTTTGAGGAGTATCAGGGGGATCTTCAGATATTGGTGACACAGAAGAACTGTACCTTTGCTCTCTTTTTATTGTAATGGAAAATATATATACGGACAACAATGTGTTTTTTTTTTCCTAAGGAAACTCCTGCATATACAGTATTCCAAATTAGAGTTTCAGGAGCCCGATGTGAACGGCTTCTTTCTTTATTTTGTGATATTAATTTAAGATTTTGATTTAGTTTTGATCCTATTTAAAAGATCTGTTTTTTTTCCCTAATGGAATAAATGTGGTCATGTAAGCGCTTTTTCTGTGTGTCTCAGGTCGATGGTCATTCGACTGCCCGAACCACCGCAGGGTTTTCAAAGCCTCACTCAGTGGCTGTATAACCAAACCGAAACGGCCCTTAAGGATCTGCTGAAGCAGGGAGATCCCCAGCAGGTCCGCGAGTTCTCCCTGGCACTCATCACCGTGCTCAACGAGGTGGGCAGTGACGTGGATCTCCAGCTCCAGCAATAAGAGCAGGTTTTTCTCTCCATTGACAGGGACCCATCAACCAAGAACCAATACACTATGAAAGCATGGTCTCTGCATCCAGTTCCTAATCATTGGAAGCATGGAAGGGAGAGCAGAAATGGCTTCATACAGCCAAACCCATAACTCCGTTTTGAGGCTCATTAGACCTAAGGGCTGCTCCATTCGTTCAGTTAGATCCTAATGAATGCGATTCCCTCGCCGGAGAGGATAAGCTGCCCGACCTCCCTCCCCACACTATTACGAGGAATGAGCCAGGGTGCTGCAGTAAAGGTGTCGATGGGGAAGCGGGGGGCGAGATGCGAGACAGATACATGAAGTGAGACCTGGGTACGAGGCTTATATACTGTATGTAGGCGAGCAGTAGTGTGTAAAAGTAAGCCCTAACCTTTCTCCTGAAAGTCTTTGTCGTGCTGAGCTCAGTTTCTTCTGGGCTTTGGCAGCATTAACGTTTGTGTTGTATGCATCGCAAGCTGTAGATTACACAAGTACACCAAGTCTCTCTGTTTTTCCTCTCGGTCCATAGTATGAACAAACCGGGCCACCATCCTTGGACTTGTGGAGAGAAAGAGAACAGCGCGTCATCATCCGCAGCAATATCACGCGAGCCCTGGTCTCTCTGGACGTCAACACGGTCAATGACATTAAACAGACATCAGCGGCCTTGGCGCAGTGCACAGTAAGACAGGATTTCCTTCACATTGCTTCTCACAAGGAATAAGTTCACACTGCTGGGCCAGTCTGATATCAGATCTCAAAAGCTCCAGTATGTGAGGCTGGCACTGGGCAGTATTGGGAATAGAGACCTGCAAGGGGAACTGTGTTGGTGCAGTGTTAGACCAGTAGGGATGCTTTCCCCTTTGGGCCAGAATTTCCAAACCAGCGCCCCAGTTTGGTTGCATGGTACACTCTGCTGTAGGAGGTTCCATTTTTGAGATAAGATGTTAAACCTGCTGTAGGTCCTGACTATGTCATTAAATATTCCATGTTACTTTTAGTATGAGTAGGGGTCTTAACCCTGGTATGTTGTTTAAATTTGGTTTTGAACTTGCAAAATCTAGCTTCCCAAATTTCTCCAATTTCAATTGCTCATTTAATTGTCAATTTCTCACATGTCCACCTGATTTGCTGAGTCACAGGACTGAGAGCATCAGATGGTTGCTGCACCATCCAGGTGTTGAAGAAGTGGGTCTCCTCCGATAGAGAGAGTTCTTTAGGGGTCTTTGTGATAAAACAAGTTATAAAACATACAAAGAGTTGTTATTATTATTATTATTATTATTATTATTATTATTATTATTATTATTATTATTATTATTATTATTATAACCTACCCAGTGCTGCATAGCTTTGAAGTGACTTGACATTGTGAAAGTAAAGCAGCTTTGAAATTCTTCAGACAATTATGTCACTGGTTTGTCAGGTGTTAGTTATGTATTGCTTCTTCATTTCCAGACTGTCAGCAAGGAATTCATTTGCCAGGAGTGCCAGAAGATTACACTTACCAAGCTGGAATCCATGCTGGACATCCTGCAAAGTGACACAAGGCAGGGAACAGTCACCCCCACAGAAATTGCCGATAACATCCTCAACATAATGGGTGAGTAATATGCAGCAGCTGTCTGGGTAACTAGGAAGTTCTAACAGAAAACTGAGAAAATAGTGCAGGGGTTTAGAGCCATTTAAGTCCATTGAAATGCAGAGGATGGCTATCAAATTAAAAAAAGTGTCAGAATGAGCTCCTTTATTTTTACCCGTTTACAATATATTTAGTAATTCACATTTGAAGTCCCCAATAGCTTTTGAATACCCATCTCCTTCCTTGAGATCATTGCAGGTTCACCTAGCCAACTTCCCTGTGCATCGCTCATACAGGCATGGGAAGAACGAAGCTGCGATGGGCATTCTGCTGCCTGTCACACTTCCAGACACATAGTACCTATAGCATAATACCATGGTACCTATATTTAGTTAGATGGCTCTGGAAAGAATACTACATTTTTATCTGAGCTTGATATCTGAAGCCAAGCTTTTACTGTTGAAGAGTAAAAGGATTGGATGAGATTCCCACATTTTCTAACAAGGCATCATTATTCCTCCTCTGATTTTCAGGAGATCTGATTCACCTGGTGAACCAGGCACCCCCCCAGCCAGCTGCAGAGGACAAGTTTAGCATCAGCAACGATCAGCTGCTGGTAGCCTCCAAAGCCTACAACCTGTCCTCCGAGCTGATGAGGATCCTCATGCACTCCCGTGTGCTGAACGAGGAACCCCTCGTCTTCAACGGCTCGGAGATCACCACGGCCGGCAAGCGCGCGGACCCCCTCAACTTGCTGTGCTACGTTGACGACCCCACTTGCCGTTTCTCCATCCCGGAAAGCTTCAACACCACCTTCAAGGACGTGCCGCACATCGTTCAGGTCCTCTTCCAGGTCGAGTCCAACCCTTTCCCCTTCGGGTACGTGGACAACTACACCGTTTCGACGGAAGTGGCCTCAATGGAGTTCCAGACGGAAAACGGCACCCAGATTCCCATCTCCAGCTTGAGCGCAAACAAGGCCATCACGGTGAAGGTGTCAAACGGTAAAGGAGTGAAGAAGATCTTGTCTGGGGCGGCCAACATCAGCGAGTGGAGCTCCGTGATCGTGATGGTCAGAACAGGCAACACTAACAGAGCAGCTGGGCTACATGTGCAGCTCACATTCACAGTGCTCAATGGTAAGTACTACTAGTAGCAGAAGCAGGAATGGGATCAGCAGTAGTTCGGGATCAGCGCTGAGACATGAACCAGTGGACCCTTATTGAAGCTACATATATACAGTATATAGGATTGAGAGCTGGCGGTACTTACAGTAAACTGCATGTCCAAACAACATGTGGGAATCTGGAGTAATCTACTCAGTCAAGGTGCTAAAACTTGTGCCCTTGGATCTTTAAGAAAACAGCTGGATGAAATCCTCTGCTCCTCGTATCTAAACAAACTAGACAGGCGAAATGCCCCCCTCTTTTTTGTAGTCTTAGAGGTTTTCTAGTGTGATGACTCCTCTCATTGTTTAAGGGAGACACGTGGTCCCACCACCAGTTGCCCGCATCTCTCTTCTGAACAGACATAAACTTCCAGTTCTGGGGTCACCCACTCCAGCCTCAACAACTGGGGCAGAAGGGACCACAACAATATGTTTGCGTACAAGGGACAATGCAAGGCTGAATAGAGCCTCAGTATAAATAACACGTGTAGGACTCAGTGTTGGCTTTGTTTGAAAGCTTGCTCTGTCAGTGAAGGGTGTTTCTAGCCACATAAAAAGAAGAAAAGAATCAAATTTTCCCTGTCATAATTACAACTCACTGGCTTCACGGATGAAGACGCGGACAAAATTCCCTTGTCTTTTATCTTTTGCAGATGCTGGTGCTGTCAAGGGAACAGAGCCATACATTACTGCTTATCTAAACAGCCACAGCAGGCCCAATGAGCACAACTGCACAGCACAGAAGAAGATCACCCTTAGCCTGATTAAAGGGCTGGATCACAAGCCATACACTTTCTTCCTATCTCCAGAGTAAATCAATATATACTAATTCCTCATATGTCAGAACAAAGATATTTTGGTATTGTGCTATATTGTATAACAGTATATGATCACTTTCATCGATCATTTACATATTCTGTTTTGCCAGTGTGTCTTTCTATGCCGCGAAATACATTGATTTCGTTTTATATGCAGATGAGCATCACTCAAACATCTCATGCGAGTGCGTCTGATGAAGCAAAAAGAATAGCATCATTGTTATGCATGCTGGGAGAGACTTTATATAGCTTTGAGTAATACTGTAGGTTCCAGGCCAAAGTTACAGAAATAGTATCTTCTAATAGGCCTGACAGAATTTCACAAGGGTTTTGGAAAGACCCCTTAATTTCACAGCTGTAAAACTATTTCAAAAGATGACTGTGTTACCATGAGCACAAGAGCACATTTCATTACAAAAGGCAAAACATGACATGAAATTTGACATGAAAACATGAGAGTTTTAGGGGTTTCCATTAGCCTTAAAACTTGACAGGCAGAGGGCGGTGAAATCTCAAGGATGCCGTCTCTTCTTCCCAGGGCCTATGACACAACGCAGGACTACTACGTGAACGTGACCAACGGCTGCCGGTCGTCTCCAGTGCGGCTGGAGGTCGGCGTCTACTCCTCCCTCTGTCAGTACTTCAACGCCGGCGAGCTGCTCTGGAAGACGGACGGCATGGTGCCCTTGGAGGACACCACCATGGGCAGGGCCGTCTGTCGCACGGAGCACCTGACCGCCTTCGGGGCCAGCCTCTTCGTGCCCCCGCAGTCCGTGGTCTTCATCGTCCCTGTAAGCTCATTTTCCTGCCTTCCCTGAAAAGACAGTCAGGGAAAATTAAACAAGTTTTTTCTTTCGTGCGCATGGGAGTGAAACACACAGACAGATGTTCAGTGTAGTTTTCTCCAAGTGATTAAATTATACAGTCCTTAAGTATTTTTATATCACAGTTCGCTGTGCTGATCAGATTGGCAGCTTTACAGGATCACAAACATCTCTTCCCTATTTGCCAAAGATAACTTCTTTTAACACAATTGGTTACTTAGTTTTGTAGCAGGCATTCCTATATAACACAAAATAGAATTACATGACATCCCTTGTATCCGGCATTCCTCCAGTCCAGTTCAAACCAGTTCTGCATGTCCACCTTATAAAATACTGCAGCCTCAGCAGAAAAAGTATGTACAAAGTTCACAGAGACCCTCTCAACAGTGCTGATAAAAAGGCGTTTCCGGCTGCTTCACCACACCTAGCAGCTGGAATCTCTCATCGTCGCTGCCACCCATATTAATTTCTCTTCTCCCATTCTTGCTTCTTATCTCTGCCTTCGTGATGTCTTAAGATATGATCCGCGCTCAAAGGCGTTTTTAAAAACCAAATGGCGCTTGAGTGCTTTCTGCTATCGGAACCGCCCCATTATTTTAGAGAAACACATGGGCACAAGAAAGATTAGTATGAGAGAGGGACACTTTGCCCTTCATTGCAGATACAGCTCACATGCTTCAGCTGTACGGATTTAATCATGTTAGTGGTTGAGATGTGTAGGTCAATCTAAAAGTGGTCGACAAGTGAGTCTTGGCAACGCTAAAGCAAATTCCTAATGGCATATAAAATATCTGGATTTGGCTTCTTCATATAGCACCTACCTAGTAGATGGGTTGTTTAAGGTAAATGGATTGTTACCATCAAAGTCGATGTGAACAGTGTTGTACTAACACTCAGTGTCGCTGCACAAATGCATTACAGTAGATAGCAAATAGCAGGGGTGGGCAGTCCTGGTTCTGCAGATTTTTTTTATTTGGAAGAATTCTTCAAAGCAGCACCTGAAGATCTTGGAAAAGCTGGTCCAGTTAAGCCCAGAAACAGGCTGGTCTTGCTCGTTTACAGCTGGGTTGGAATGAAAACCTAAAGGCCCTGCAGGACCAGGACTGTCCATCCCTGGGTAAACGGTTTCAGAAGATCCTTCCTCGATTTAAACTGGTGACATTTTTTAAAGGGGAAACATGTGTTCTTCTGTTCCAGGAGCCGTCTCCAGAAATGAGCTACATTGTACTGCTGACGTGCGCAGTGAGCTTCGTCACTTTCTCCATCGTGGCAGTCATAGTGAGGAAGTTAGACCTGATCGACATCAAGCGCACGGGGGTCATTCCCTTCTGCGGCAAGGATGGTCTCTACAAGTACGAGGTCCAAGTGAAGACCGGCTGGGGGCGAGGGTCAGGTGGGCACAGAGAATACCCACTCTCCCGCCTTCTGTCTGTTTTGGGAGTTTCGTTAACTGTCCCTGGATCCAAGAAATCGCTTTCCTATCTAAGAGTGTGTACAGTATATAGAAACATTTAAATGATGAGGACAAAGAAACATCCTTTTCCTTCTTTTATTGTTTCTCTTTTTTGTCATTCTTATTGTTATAGAAATTGCCAAAAGCTAACATAACAGCAGTGGGACAGCAAAGGCTTGACTGTTTAATGACAAATGACTTAATGCTTTAATGCTTTGTTGTAACACAAGTTGACATGACAGGATTATGCAGAGTTGCTGAGTGATCATGGAATCATCATGAATATTGTTTTTGTTCCATGCGAACTCCAGTATACAGTTTTTGTATGTCAGTGGTATGTGGTGATTTTTAAACATATAACACTTAAGGGAGGTGTTACTTGCCAGTAATGCATTGATTACTAAAGGAGATTGATCTGCCATTGCTTCTTTGTCAGTCTATAATGTTCAAATACAATCTGTTTCAGATTTGGTGAACCTGAGTAATACGTAAGTTGAAAAAATAAAACAATAGCCTTAGACACTTACAAGAGAACACATACAAAAAAATCTGGAATAATACATTTTCATTTTAGCCTGGCTACAACCCATCTAGAGCCTGCCTGGCTTAGACTCTTCGACTTTTGTCGGGTTAAACGTATTTGCTTTAGGTCACTTTTCTGATTCATGCTATGACAAAGTAGTATGACAATCGCCTGCCATAACAATTTAGAATATATTTATATAAACGTAATAAACATTATAACATAATGTTATAACAAACTTATATAAAGTAACTTATAAACAGTTTAGCTGTTTTGTGCTGCGTTCAGTTTAATACACAGTATTTTTCCTTCTCCGCGATAAGTCTCCAGTCCCTCCCAGCTCTCTCCTCTGCTGTGGCTGAGCTGGGAATGGTGGAGCTGAGCCGGGCCTGTTCTTTGCAGGCACCACGGCTCATGTGGGGATCAGCCTCTATGGGAGAGAGGGCCGGAGTGGCCACAGACACTTGGACAGCGGCAGCGCCTTCACGCGGAGCAGCCTGGATATATTTCACATCTCCACAGACAGCAATCTGGGCAGCATCTGGAAAATTCGGATCTGGCACGACAACAAAGGTAAAGACTCTGACATCATTCTCAAAGGCTGCCACTGACATCATTCTCTAAGGTCGTTTTCTTTCATGGTGTGTTCATTTCAGAGTGTTTTATCCTTACCTGTTTTATAATCCCGCTTAAAAAAACATTATTTTGAATGCTTGATTGAGAATACCAGAGGGGGTTGTTTGAAAGAGCTTCTTTACCGTGCGGATGGAAACCTTTGGATTGTGGCGTTTCAGGAACAAATGAGGAATTTTTTTCCTGATACATACTGCAAACTGCTCTTTCTTTGCCAGTGGGGGAAAACACTGCTCTCATCTCACTGTTATAATGAATAAGTGAAATCACTATAAATTGCTACTGTAGCATAATCACTGCATCTCTGCTATAGTGTCTTTCTGAAGTAGGTTTATTTACTAGTAACTTAGATTAAAGGTGTAAAAATGAATGAATAAAAATAAATTCCTCTGCTTTTGATTTTTAACAAACACTTTCTGCCTCGGATCATGTGTCCTGTTCCTAGCTTTATTACTGTACCCAGGAGGAGAGATGATTACAGATGTCTGTCTTGTGGGGTCTTCACAAGGTTTACAAAGCTCCTCTTTCTGTCGACAGGACTGAGTCCCTCTTGGTACGTCCAGTATGTCGTGGTAAAAGACCTGCAGACAAGCAACAAGTATTTCTTCCTCATTGAGGACTGGCTCTCTGTGGACAATGACAAAACAGAAGGGATGGTGGACATAGAGGTTGAAGCTTCAAGTAAGCGGAAGACATTGAATGAAAAAAGAATTCCATTTCTAGTCTTTCCCAGACTACAGCTATATGTTTTAAAAATCTGTCAATGTGCTGGCAACATTCATCCATGATTCACCCAAGACTGCTCTTTAACAGCTGAAGCTAAGAGGGTCCGAGTGTCAGCTATGTGGCTGCACCATTTTCAGAGGAGACCCTGTCTCATGATGGTACCATGACACAGTCATAAAAAGGCTCAGGAAGCCCCCTTTTTGAACCTACTGCCATTACCTTCTGCAGATGGTCGTCGCCGGGTGGCTATCATATTAAACATGAAAAGGGACAGACAACTGTCAATGCTAGGATCAAAAGCTACTTTGTCACGGTAGTTGGCTTCCAGAGTGGCAAACACATTTTCCATCCATCCACCCCATTTGCGGTTGCAGGGGCAAAGTCTATCCCAGCAAAGCAGTGGACGCAAGTCGGGGTACACCCTGGACAGCGCAGTGGTCCATGACAGGGCAGACAGACACAAACACTCACTCCAGGGCCAATTTTCCCAGAAGCCAATCCTGCAGGAATGTCTTTGGGCTGTGGGAGGAAACCCACACAGACAAGCAGCCCTTTTTACCCTCAGTGAAATACCAATCACTGACGTGGAATATTGCTATGAATACTCAGGTCCACATTTTGACAGCAAAATCTGTAGAGTTTTTTTTTGTGAGGTTTTGAGTCTTTTTTCTTCAGAAAAAGTAAAGGCCATTTCCTCCGAATACAAACGTCAGATCAGCCTCCTTGAACTAGGTTTTTGTGTTCTTTACACTTTGAGTGTTTGGCCTAGAAGCATCAAATGTACAGTACATAGTACATCAGCAGATCATAAGCACATCCAGAAAGACCCCATTCTTGTTAACTAAGCCATAATATATCTATAAACCTGTATGTGATGAGCAGGGGGCTGGCTTTGTGATGATAAATACACAGTAAATGAGTGCTGTGAGCCATCAAAGCTTTTTGATTTTTACTCTGTCGAGTTGATTTTTAAATTTATTGTGACAGTTACAATAAATCTCAAACACCTCAGTGCTCTACGGGCACTGGGGCATTTTGTTGTGTGACAGTCCCTTTCAATATATTTTGTGAACGTCTTTGTCACACTGTGTATATCCAGTGCAAGATCTGATTTTAGCCAGCTTGCAGTAAGTTATATCTCCTCGTTTGGGGAAGAACCATGTGTAGCAATCCAGTGAGAATTTTCCAAAAGGCTGATGTGGAATTTTATATAGCTGGCGTTAACTCAAGATGAAAGTTCCATTTGTGTGTTGTGTTTTTTTTTTCTTGTGGGAAAAAAATACATTTTCATATAGTTTGCCCTGTTGCCATGAATATTTTCCCTTTAATGCATTTTTACCCTAAGCTGCTGTTTTTTTTTTCCAGCAGTGAGCAAAGAAATTCCATTAGTTGTAATTACAGGTTCTTCACTTTTGTCCATGTAGAGCTTTTGCAAAACCATTTGAGTCATTAGGAAGAAGATGGTTATGACCCACTTTGAATTATGTAGATACAGTATAGGAAGTTGCGCTCTTTCTTAATATTATTTTAGGTTCTCCATTTTATTGTATCTGTTTCTGGTGAATTTCAAGAAAAAACGTGTTACGCGCAGGGCAGGAGGCTAGTTGCTGGAATGTAAACATTAAATAGTATTAAATAAGGTCAAGTAGGATGCTGTGTCAGTGTGTGTTAGCTAGAAAGGAACAAGGTTAATTCCCATAAACACATCTGAAAAAAAGCAACTGGTGATAGATAGCGTGTCTTCTTTCTACTTTTCAACCACATATTAAATATTACCCTTGTGAATACATTTTCTCTTATGTTGGAAATTTGGAAGTGTTATCCTATAATGTGTCCCAGTAAGAGAAATGAATGCCAGCGCAGCACACAATATCAAATATTCATGTTGATTTGCCTTCTGGGTCAGTTGAGGGCTCCTTGTAGAATTAAAAACAGCAGAGAGTCATGGTGTATCTGATGCATTCAATATACTGTAGCATGCCCTCCACTAAACGAAACGGTGTGGATCTTTTTATCCAGCTATAGTAGAAGGCACCTCTGGCAGTATCCCAGTGGGTTATAGGGTTTTCAAGCTTCTTTCCACGAACGGTGCTCTGGTTTTCTGTCTCTGTAGCGGATACCGAACTGCAACGCTTTTCCAGGATCTTTGTGGCAGAGCTGGAAAGAGGCCTGTCAGAGAAGCACATCTGGCTGTCTCTCTGGGAACGTCCTGCCCGGAGTCGATTCACACGTCTCCAGAGGGCCACCTGCTGCTTCCTCCTGGTTCACCTGTTCCTCCTCGCCAACAGTGTGTGGTACGGCCTTGTGGGGGATAAGAGCCGTAGGTAAAAGTCCCGCCCGTTCTCTTGTGAATTCAGGAATGTAGAAATCCCCGATCTGCCTGATGTACCTGGCCATGAAAATACAATTTGGGAGGGAAGTTATTGTTCATTCATGTTGACAGGAAACTTCAGCATCACAAGAGAGTTAGTAAAAAAGGGAGGTTCTGTTTTTATTTCTTTTAAAAGTGCTGTCTTAGCAAAACAAATGTACCTTTAGGCCTTAGCTTTTTAAAGGACCAATTCAGCTGACGGATCTCAGGTTTGTTTCCCAGAAAAAACAACTTTGGTTTAAGAATTTGCTGTCATAGTGCTGATGTTAAAAGTTTTCGTAATGAGATCGACTTATCAGACTTATTCTTATGACCTCTATTTCACGCCTCACAAACTTGACTTTTTTTGCATCGGATATGAAATACGTCTGAAACTGTAAAGTAATCTGGCTCCGTTTCCCTGCAGGATTCAATTCAGGAATTGCAAATTATGGAGAAAATAAGGGATATAAATTATAGAAATTCTCCTGTGATAAAATCTCAAGAAATCATTTTCTGTTTTGTCCTTTTTTTTATAATTTTCCGATTTCCACTAGCAGATCTGTCTTAATGGGAATGTGTTATCACAAGCCTTTCTTTCTTAAATAAGGGGGCAAGGGGTATGATGTAAAAGCTGTATTAGTGGCTTATAAATTGTTAATTCCCCTGTGCTATCAGATACACACCTGTTTCCAACTTAACCTCTGTGAGTGGTGAGACATTGGCTGTGGGGCTGGTGACCTGTCTCATCATCTATCCCGTCTACCTGTTTGTGCTGGCTCTCTTCAGGATGGCCCGCAGCAAGGTGAGGAGCTGCAGCACAGAATTTCATTTCACATCACATTGAAAGCAACTCATTCTTCCCCTTGAGATTAAAGTGTCCAAGAGAATCCGGCACACTGCTCAGGCTCCAGAGCTGTTTCTTACTGGAAATCATTTTTGTGCATTCAGATTTTTTAGATCCCCAAACCCAGAGTGACAGTGTAACTGTCAGTATGGGCCTGCAAATCCCTAATAATCTGAAAATTGGGAGGAATAACATTTCGCAAGGCAGTGAGATGAGTTTAGAAGACAGGATTTGCTCATGATTTTGAGCAGTACTGTATATCACAACTCCAAGACATAATGTAGGGTTCAGTAAAATACATACAGCATTCCCTCGGAGTTTTGGATAGATTGGATTTGGAAATCATGAAAATGGATCAAATTGTTTGTTGGAAATACAGTCTTTCATATACTGTCAAGAAACATAAAAGAGGCATTATTCAGCCATGACGTGTTTTTCTATGGAAGCTGAGCGCATCTCTCTCTCTCCTAAGGTCTGTGTGGAGCAGCCTGTGCCTCAGCTTGACCAGGAGTCACTAGAGATTGATGATTACCTGGATAGCTCCATTGCCGGCAGCTCCTTCCTCATTTTCAACGGGATTCCAGGGGAGGTAATGTCTCTCTCAAGGGTGATGAACTGTATACAGGTATTCCCGCTGTTATTTGCCACACCATGTTATGCATCTCTTGAATATGAGTACGCTTATATTCATACTCACAGTGGTGAGCATTGCTGCCTTGCAGCGCTGGGGCCCTGGGTTCAGTTCCTGGGGTGCTGTCTGTGTGGAGTTTGTACCGTTTGTTTTCGCCATGTTTCCGTGGGTTTCCTCCCACAGGCCAAAGACATGCAGGTAGGAGGCCAAAGACATGCAGGTAGGTTAAGTGCATTTCAGGAAAACTGGCCCCTGGTGTGAGTGTATGTGTGTGTGCCCTGTGATGGACTGATATCCCATCCCTGGTGTATCCTGCGTTAGCTTGCTGCGATGGGCTCCAGCTCCCCTGTGGCTTTGTATTCGATAAAGTGGTTAGAAAATGTAGGTGTGGATAATGAAAATGGTTAAATGTGAAATGTTTTGCAGTACGACCATCAGCTTGATTTCGTTTTCTACCAATACCTTCAGACCCAGTCCACTGTACATGTTACCCTGTGGTAGCACTGTGTATATGTTTGTGCTCAATAACCTGGAGAGGGTACCCTTATTTGTCAAATATACTCTATGAGAGCCTTATCATGCCCAACCCATACCGCAAGAAGCCTGTATCAGACATAGACATCACAAAAAGAATTCTTCAACTTTAATTTCTGGTCCAAATGTTGAATTGAGGGAACAAAATTAGAATTTTTCTTAAATTCAGAAACAAAGGGAAGAAAAATCCCAAAGGAATTTTAATGCTGAAATTAAACCTGAGATGAAAAATAGCCGTGCTTAAACTGCTTTTTTTTCTTTAGACATATTCTGAGGATACCAATCTGGACGTACCAATAGCTTCATCAAAGAGGTAAAGTATAGTATCTGCAAACCTCTCAACATCATATTTTAGTTTAATTTATCCTTTTCTTATGAAAGGAGACGGTTTAAGAGGAAGCATGCCGGAGCAGTAATATAAATCTCTGCGTTGATACATAAAACGCCCAAAAGCCAAATTCTGCCAACAACTACGTGAAATTTAGCAGTACCAGCACACAAGAATCAATTATCCTGTTCTGTTTACAGTGTGCCTTGTGACATCTTGTGTAACGTCCGCCGGTTTGGTGTTTCATTTTCCTGAAATCAGGGTCCTAAAACATTGTTTTTCATTCATCGTCATTTCAGTTCTCTCCCCCTGTACGAACTGGGGAACTGCTGCCGCTACATTCTCTGTTGCTCAATACCGCCCACTGCGATCAGCTCCCACACCTATTAACCGCGAAAGGACCACAAACCCTGGTGATCCTGCAGTTCTGCTCTCCTGTCCTTCTTTCCTCACTCTCCTGCACTGGCAGGACACAGAAGGGAGGATTGAAGAGTCATTCCCTATGTGTGGTCATGCCACAGTGAAGAAAGGATTGCTTCCAGTTCTCACACAAATCAGCTTTCAGTCTGGAACCCTTACATAACCCGGGGAGTTGGGCGGATGGCTTTTGCCTGAAAGTCCTGAATGTATTTTGCCTGCGGCTGAATTTGTACTGTTCCCAGTCTGCAGAAAACGAACTTCCAGGAGAGTGTGGCTAACTGGCCCGACCTTCTCAAAGACCCCTCCATCATGGTCGGTCACCTGCCCAAGCTGAAGAGGGGACAGGGCAGCCGCCATCTCGGAGTGGACATGACCCTGGCATCGGAGGAGGAGGAGTACAACAACCGGAACAAGTACTTTACCGCTTCAGGTACTGCAGGTCATTTTGCATGAGCACGCTGGATGATCAGCGGCGTCGAGCACAGTGTTGTTGTCTGTTTTTTTTTTTTCGTTCCCATGTGGTAAGAAGAAGCTAAAGCAGGCGCTATGCCCTACAAGTTCAGTAATGGAATGCGTCTGTGTGTGTTTCATTGGAAATATCTAATAACTGCACTCAGTATCAAATAGTGAACTGTCTCCCGATCCGACTTCATTTTTAATAAAATCCCCAATTGTTTTTTTCTATATTTATACCTTCCTGCTGCTTCAATCATTGGCATTAATCAGCTTACCTTAACGATACAGACACTGTACAGCACGGGGAGAATGAGGACCCATCCAAGAAACTTTCCCACAAGAGAGCGACTTGCAATGTATAACGGTGGCATCTTAAGCTGCAACATTAAAACGTTAATGGTTTCAGTACGGCTCTGTCTGTTGTGTAAACCACAGGAGAAATAATTTACCCGTCTAACTGTAGGTATTTTGCAGTCCCAGGGGTTTATGTAATCTTTTTCTCCTAGATGAGGATTTAATAAAGAAGATCTTAGCTGATGGACAACTGCAGATGTCTAAACTGCGAGAGGCTCAGCAATACTTCTCTCAGACAGAGAGCGAAATGGCAGACTTGTAAGTAGAAAGGCCAGCTTGAGCATTTAACCCATTACCTGGCCCTTGCATAATGTTTTATTTTTCATTTCTAATTTGGAATCGCCCAGGTTTTCCTTACCTCTGAGTTTAGAGCCGAGAGCCAGGGAGAGTGGGAGACCATGCACCCAAGCTCCGCTGACCCACGCAGCCATCAAGTCACCGTTCTGACACTCGTTTCTGTGCCTTCCTTCCAAATGCATAAGCTCCCGCACTGACGTTCAGGAGGTTCAATGCCGGTTGAAGGAGAGGCCAGTCTGTCACCACTGTCCAGCCTTACAGTTTCTGCTTCGTGCTACTGTACAAGGGCAGCATGACATGGCCTCAAACCCCTGATACGAAATAGTTAAGGCGCCCAGAACCCCTTGCCTAATGTGTTTTTATTCATTTGATTTCTCATGTCTTGGCTGCTGTTAATGAGCGCTCTTGGTCTATTATTATTTCTGTGACAAATGCCAAATAATATATCCACCCAGTATCGGAAAACCACTTTTTCCTGGTAAGGATCCCTTGGAAGGCAGGACTGCACCCTGGACGGACGAATGCCAGCTCATATTGTATGAAAAATATTTTGTCAAGAATTAACTCTTTATCAGCGATGGCAGGATTCAGCAGCTCTCAAATGTTTGTGTTCTGTCTGATATTAGATTTTACTTTTAGCTTACATCCCAGATTTATTCCATGACTGAAGGGGGGCAGTATACGGTCAGCTTTGCATTTTATTACAAGTATGGCTTCAGGCTTCTTCTGATAAATTTCCTAAATGGATCCAGTTATTACTATAAATGTTTAAAAAGGCTTTAAATGAAAACGGGCCGATATCCTACAGGCACATTTACCTCATATTCTAGAAGTATTAAATGATGAGGAATATCAACTGCATCTTCATATCCAGACTCTTATTTAAAATTCTGCACCGTCATTGATTTAATTCCCAGGGCATTTGCTTCATTATCAGTACTCTGGCGCTGCTCAAGATTATGAGATGTGTTTTGAGTATTTGTTCCCTTATCTCTTTGTCCCAGGTCCAGTATTTTTGGAGACAAGACTGAAGTGATCCTGCTCCAGAAGCTGAATGAACCTGTTCCCGCTGGGACAATAAGAAGGGACCCCCCCAAGTCTGCATTCACTTCCAGAACTGGTATTTTCTCTCAATTTAGGTTTATGTAATCCTAGGGGAAATTATGTATTTACTGTTCTTGCAGAAATACTGTATTGTTACAGTGCTGTGATACAAAACACTCTACTAAATGTACTAACTGTTAGTGTTTATGTCCAGTACAAATCACTATGTATTACTTAATGGTGAATCTTTAAGTACGGACAAAAGAAATATTAAATTGTGAGTGTTTTTCGTGTGTTTGTCACAGCAGCTGTTACAGTATTTGTCCCTCGGTGTTCCCAAGTCTAATGTCATAAACCTGTGGAAGCTCTTTAAAAAGCCCCACAAAAACAAAGTAATTGGGAATGAAATGAAATTTCAAGGCAGCCCCAAAACCCTGAAAGAAAGACGAGGTACTGAGCTAGCCTGCATGGCAGTAAGGTCCCTTTCCGTGGTGTGCTTGCAGTGGTGACAGAGCTGTCGAAGAGGATGCTCTTCCCATACTGGTGCAGTCCGGCTGCTCATGTCCTGAGCCTCCTGCTCTGTGTCGTCTCCTCCGGTGTATCCGTGTGGATTGGGCTCCGGTTCAGCTCCAGCGTGGCCCTCATGTGGCTCATTTCCGGGATCTTCAGCTTCCTGGCCTCCTTCTTTGTACTGGAGCCGCTGAAGGTACAGCATAGTTCAGACTCACTGAAACAGATCCACACCTCTCCTTGCTGGCCCTAGGGACTTCTGGAGCGTAACCAATTAATGTGCAAGCAGAGTATTGCTTCCCTGGTGCCTGATGCTATAAGATCCTTTTAAAAATGCCCCAAAAGCTTTATTGACAGTGCGTTGTTTTGGCTTGAACAACAACAAACAATTTTGGCAAAATTGCCTACTTATGGAGTACTTTAGTTTAGAACCCATATATTATTTTGTCTCTGTTAAGTGAATGTCATATTGTATACAGTACTATACTGGCTCTTCCTTTTTTAGTCAGTTTCTCTACACTTAGAAAATAGTTTCAATTTCTATAGCCCTAAAGTCTTTTACTTTCATTGTGGCAGATTGTAGCCCCACAGCTTTGTGATTTCATGCCTGGTGACTTGAAGGACTCCCCGTGTACCTGCTGCAGGGTTTTGAAGTTCTCGTCTGCTTTCCGCTGCTGTAGATCTTGGCGGAGGCTTTCTACTTCAGCCTGGTGGTGAAGAGAGTTCAGCCCGAAGAGCAGGATACCCTGGTGGCATGTCCCCGGGTGCTGCACGTGTCCGAGAGGATTCAGAAAGTGCGCCCTCCGCAGGGCTTCGCTCTGTTCCAGGCCAGGGAGGAAGCCAAGAAAGTGAGAATCCTTCACCGAATGTTGACGGTAGGTTGGAAGAAGCACCTATGCATGCACATCAATGTACCCGGTCAGACAATTTAGTTTAGGGATCACTCCTGCAAGGTTTGAGACAAAAAATAATGTTTTTTTTTCCTTTTTCCAAATAAGGTTTTCCTATTTACAGTGTTGTGTACAGTTTTCTGTGGGTTCCTAAGCCATTTTCAGTAACCACTTTATCCGTAGATGAGAAAATGAACTAGAGTCCATCCCAGCCAACACAAAGGCACAGACAGGGACTCTTGGTAACAGTACAGTTCACTGCTGTTGGGCAACGGGCTTTTGGTTTGCAGCTGGCGGACGATTCAAGGTTTTAATTTAATCCTGCCCTTAGTGGCCTGCCCAAGATCAGTGACCCGAGCGATTTTGGCTGCCAGTTAAACGCGCTGTGATTTCTCTTTCAGAACTTCCTTGTCTACATGCTGTTCCTGCTCGTCGTGCTGCTCATTAACTACGGAGACTCGGCCAGAGATGCCAGCAGCCGGCAGCTGCAAGCTTTGCTCCAGCAGAGGCTCCATTCCGCCACTTTCAGCAGCATCAGGAAGTAATAATAACAATACGTCTCACTGACAGGCGTTTTCTGACCAGACTAGAAGCACTGTGCTGTATGGTAGAACACACAATAAATATAAAACACAGTAAAAACAAAATCAGACATTTAAAGATATAGTACAGTTACAAAAAAATGCTAGTTTTGAAAATATACAGTAGTTTGTGTTAGGTTCAGCAGATTGTGTGTCTATATGTATGCTTTGTTGAATTCACTCAAATATATATATTTATGCATTGTTGAATTGACATACTGTATATACTGTAGCTTTGTTTTTCAACTCTCAGAACCTGAAAGGCCACATTCTTTGATATCTTTAATCAGCCAGTCAGTTTATTGTAGCCCACTTTGCAATACTTTGGCACAGAGCTCTTTAAAGAACTATACAGCAGTTGCCAATATTGTACAACAACAATAGACCCAATCTAATACACAGTATGTTAAGTGTTTATTATCTGGAAACAATAGGGGATAAAATCTACTCTTGGACATTGTGGTGAAAGAACTTTAATGGACAAAAAAAACAATATTCCCCGGGGTTGGGTATTGTGAAACTCTTTGCAACTGCAGTGTTAATGGAAAACAAAGAAGTAGCCCAGATGAGGTCAACTGAATCCACTATTGCTTTGCTTTGCCTCTCAGACATGAGGACGTCTGGCTGTGGCTGTCCGGCTCTCTGATCCCATACCTGTATAACAATGACACCCTGTTGAAAGAGACCAGCAGCATCCTCCTGGGGTCTCCTCGCCTTCGACAGATCCGCGCCCGGGAAGGTGGGAGCGGTTATTCCCTCTTTCCAAACGAAAAGGAAATTAAAGAGGAAGCAGATTGTAACAATAACCTCCAGGCAGGAGAGGCAGTAGTACCCAGACGACAGAGAGTGCTGGCAGTGCCGCCTGGTGCTGTTATATTGGAGAGTGCACAAGTGTATGGTCTTTAGAGAACAGCTCCTTCGTGTCATTGGGGTGGTAGAGACCGGACACAATGTGTGCACTGTCACTTTCCATCTACCACATGACTTTCGTGTGAGATTAGAATGAAGGGATTTGCATGCCCTGCTCACCAGAATTTAATCTGCTGCGTGGTTTAAGGCATCTAGAGGAGAGACTGGAATCTTAATACGAAGGAAAAGGTGTCTGCGTGATCAGTGTCTGTAGGAGGACTGGGACAGGATCTGGCACAAAGCGCAATCTGTATTGCTTCCAACAGCAGCCACACACAACAACCCTATAACTTATGACTTTCACTGTAGACCTCATGTTGATCAACCCTGTTGGTGACCAGTGTTAACCAGCATGATGAATTTACCTGTATCACGGCTGTTCCACAAGATCAGTGCACTCTCTGACTTTGTGAACTTTGTTGCAGGAGGTTTCTTTTGCTGTTATTTTGTATTTCATGTGTGAGTTTATACAAACTTGTCGCACAAGCTTCACTAATGCAGTTTCTGTTTTTCACCAATAGGCTGTACTGTGGAAGATTATTTCAATACAGGCTTCCTCTTAGGAGAGTGCAAACAGTTTGCTTCCACTGTGGATAATGGAACGCACAGCATTGAGTTGGACAGATCAACCTCCAACCTGACTCAGAGATGGGTCAGCTCCCCACCTGACTTCACAGGGTAAGCAGCCTGTTCTAAAATAACATTGTAATGGGATAATGTTCACACTTTTTCGTATAGTATGTAGCCTTTTATCCTGTCCCAGAAATGAATCCTCTATCCTAATGGTTACACATTCCTAGGCACCAGAAACATTAAGAGCCTTTAGAAGTAAAATGTCAGAGATGTATTCTTGCCATTATGAGTGTCCTAAACATTATTAAAAGCAATTTGAGTTTACTACATTAAGAGCTGGTTTTGGAGAGTCAGGAGTTCCTTTGTGGTCGAAATGTGTGAACCAGCCATTGGATCCCATTTCTAAGTTTTGCTCTTGTGGGTCTTTTTCTCTCGAAGGGTTTGGTATTGGGGTAAGCTCTCCATTTATAACAATGGTGGCTATATCCAAGAGCTGAAGAGATCTGCAGATGTATCCAAAGTAATTCTGCAACACCTCCAGAACTTCAACTGGCTGGACAAAATGTGAGTAGAGAAATGGGAATGGTCGTTAAGCAAGGCTCAAGTCAGCAAACACATTGCCAGCTCAGACGTGTTCCAGATGTGGCACAGAGCTTGCCAATGGTTGACTAACGTCGAGTCATTTCCAATGCTGTTTTTCCCCGTGGCACACCGGCTCTCAGAGAAGAGAGCTTGGAAGCTTTGATTTGGCTCTCCAACTTTATCAGAGACAGCCTCCATTAATAGAGCAACCTGGCTGCACTAGTTATAAGAGTAAAACTGCACATGTATGTGGGATTCTTCAGGCTAAATGGCCAAAAATGTCAGAAGAGAGCAGCACAAATAAGAATTCCATGCGTATAATATGAGTTGAAGTTTTTCTGCACTTAGTGTTGTCACTGTTTTGGGGGAAACAACGCTGATGGGCGATTACATAATTATTATTTCTCAGGTGAATCGCTCATTTAGAACTTCACACCAAACCAGAATGTGGTGTTTTTGTACTTATTTCAGGTCTTATTTAACGCAAATTTACGGTGCTCCCGTGTAATTGATTGACACAGTAGTTTAAAGTGCCTAGTGTGATGCAGTTATACTGATGCCCAATAAATTAATCTTATATGATTTTCTTAATCTGTAGTGGGTAAATCGTTTATACATTCCCCGTATGATGAATCAGGTGGGTGAGTAACCAGCAGCACAAAATCAGATCCACCCCCTACAGTAACAGGACGGCTGAGTGAGAGCTCTAGGCATGGCTTCGTTCAGGCTGTTCATTCTTCCGTTTCTTACTTCCCATTTTCTTTTCGCATCTGTCTGCTGTGCAGGAGCAAGGCTTTGTTTGTGGAGTTCACGCTGTACAACACCAATACGGATGTGTTCGCCGTGGTCACGTTCCTGGTGGAGTTCTCCCTCTCCGCTGGAACTCTGGCCAGCGTGGACATCAAAGCCATGAGTTTACGGAGACTGAGCTCCGGCCTCGACCTGCTGCTCCTCATGATGGTAACATTCCCTTTTCTACCACAAGAGCAAGCGGAAAGTAAGACACTGCTTGAGATCTCATACTCGCACAGTGTCTGGGCATTTTATTTATAATTGTCTACATCTTGGATTAGGTAGCGATTTTGAACTAGTAACACCTGATTAAGCCATGCAGTTTGTCTTAAATTTGT